TATATATATATATATATATATATATATGTACTCGGAGCTTCCAACGGTTTACCGCCTCTTCGTGGCTGGGAGGTGTTCCTGGGATGCGATGCACAGCAAGTGGATTCATACCCCTGGCAGGGTCCCCAAGCCCAGAAGGAGTTCGGCGTTTCCATCAGGAAGCGTACCTAAGAGTAAACCAATACCAGGATTCACCGCGGCTCTGTTATCAGAGTTGAATGGCGGCAAATCTCCCTCTGATCCACAAAGGCTGCGACTGATTGTTGTTGTGAAGACCTGGAGCACAGTTTCTTCAGTCCCACCCCGGGATTCCAAGGAGCCATAATGGCTCAACCAGCAAATCTCCGAAAAATGGAGATTATACTGGAGTTCGCACAACTAGTGAGGAAGGACCGTTCAAGTATCAAGTGTATATACTTGGATACCAAGTATCAACTATATATGTATAGGTCTACGTCCACGAGGACTAATCTGAGGTTCGCGATGAAGTGCCTTAATTGCAGAAAATCTCTATTTCGCCATAAACACTTTCCTCAATTTCAATGTGTTCGCATCGATTGGATCGTTATCGGCTAACTACATTCAAATGGTAGGCTACTTGGCGTGATTGCATCGCAATCTCTTCTTCATAGTTACTACACTGTGGTGATCCTCATATCACTTGTATCGCATCAATGAAACAATGCGCTTCGTCATTATCCGAAAACTTGAAACCACGAAAAGACCGACGGTACTCGTACGAGACGTGTAGTTGCAGACAAAGATTTTTTTGGCGTGCCTAGTTCCTGAGAATAAAAACAACTACTCAAGCTGCGGTTAAATCTGACAAAAGAACGAGAAGATTCGTATTGGATCTGTCATTTGTAACGGCTAAAAGCTGATAAACTTGCGGTGCAAGTGACAAAAAGGCATTATGCTAAGTATTAAATACTTCACGCACCTATTCGAATAACTACAGTTGTCTGTTACTTAAATGGTCATATATATACGCATGTATACATACATAAATATTTTACTGGCTGTTCGCTCCGACAAACCATCGCTATAGGCTAAATTTTTTGCAATCACCGCTTCAGCAAATATTTAGGAGGAACACAGATGAAACGAATGGTACAATTGCTTTGAGGTGCATAACTAATAAAATCGTTGTTAAATTACTCACCTTCAAGAATCAAAGAAGCGGAGGGCCTATTTCGCAAATAACCGCTGTTTTAATCACTGGGAATATTTCTCCGTCCTCTTATGACCCAAAAATATCAATCGCAGTAGGGGATTCCCAACTTGTCACTAGAACAGACAGTCGCCAACTCTTGAGAGTCGGTTTATCATACGGTGGCTAAGTTTCTTCTGTCCTAACAACATCGAATCCATGTAAAGGTTTACCCATAGCCGTGCTTCCCTTTTTTTTTTTTCTTCCCTAGAAATTCAGAACTCCTCGGTTTTGGGAGAACGCTATACCTTGGAGAACGTTTTGAGTATTACATTTCGATATCCACCGCTGCATTCATATGCCTCGGTATTACGTTAAACGATTGAAAGGTAATCTACTTTGACTTAAAGAAACATCATCCAATGTAAAGTTAGACAAACTAACTGTGGTCTCGTGATAATATAATATCGGTCAAGTTGCTCTCTTTCTGAATGACGTGCCATAGTAGCGGTTTCGACTCACATTTTCAGCCTTCACCACGATTTCTGTGGATTCCAGTTCTATTGCGGATACTCTTTATCCCATTCTTCATGTGCTGTAATTATCAACCAGTCGGAAAAGTTAGAACCGTGGCGGTAGGTGTTATGAAAGGAAAAAATAACAAACATGACCATATATGAAGTAAATTGTTACCAGTATGTTAGCAAGCCCTCAAGGGAATATCTGAGATATCAGTTGTTCCTCGGTATTTATAGGTGATCTTCAAAAATGAATGGTGGTTTACTATTGCCGTCTCGATACTGGCGCTCACATGCGGTTATTTCAGCAGCTTGGCGCTTATATACACACCGAGGTACTGTCGTATCCATTTTTAATACTATGCAAACATTAGAGGGGAGGATAGCACAGTGCTAGTGATGTCTGTCATCACGATCATGGTGCTAGTTCGATTCCGCTCCGGGGCCAACCAAGCCTCTGATCCCTCTGTTGTCGGGAAACTGGTACCAAATTTGTCTGGGGAAAAATCGCTCTCTGCAATCCATTTGGAATCGCTCCAGCTCGACTATTTCAGGATTCCACAGGGAATTATTCGACGAGCATTCTACTACATTCAAGATGAAATGAAAATCCTCAAGCAGCAACCGAAGCCACACATAAAAGTTGGAAGATCTTCGTAGAGAGAATGGATGCGAGGAAACGAATCGAATGTGAGATGTGCTTGAGATCCGCACGGTAGACGGGAGGACGGGTGACATAAAATTTTAAAAAATGCAAACATTGCGGTGCACGTGGCACAGCGTTTCCATACACGCTAAATCGGTGGCTGGATGATATGGGTCCTAGGAACTAACCAAACCTTCCATCCATTTTACCAGACCTGTCCGGGAGGGTGAAGACGCTCACTGTATATCTTCGAGTGACTGCAAATCATTGTATAGGCCAGATATGCATTCAACCAGACGAAGCCAGTTGCATGGTCCATCCTTCAGGGATTGGTTAACGCCGAACGGTTTTTCCTTTAAGCAACTATTGATGACCTTTTCTGCATGTAATAAATATTCTTTAAACAACCAGATACTGTATATTTCGATTACCACCTCTACTGACCAAACATTTTTTTTTTCACAGGCGAGAAACAGGCGAAACGAAGGACCTGCATGGTGTGGTGGTGAACGCGTTACTCCCTGGAAAGGATAATAGCCCGTTCGTTCCCCACCGCAGACATCTGTGGTCCGGACTTTTGCGAATATCTTAGCATTATAGATTTTTCTTTCATTTTTTTATTTTATATGACCCGTCTTCACGTTTACCGTGCGGATCCCAGCATTTCTCACATTCGATTCGTTCTCTCGCATCCATCATCCACGAATATCTTCCAACTTTTACATGTGGCTTTGCTTGCTGCTTGAGGATTTTCATTTCATCTTGAATGTCGTAGCATGCTGGTCGAGAAGTTCTCCCTGGAGTCCTGAGATAACCTGGCAGGAGTTTTTTTCCCAATTGGATCACAGAGTGATTTTTTCCAGACAATCCCGCTACCAATTCCCTCACTCCGAAGGGATGAGAGACTTGCCTGCCCAAGAGCGGAATCGAACTAGCACCATGTGTTGGGACGGCTCGTTGATATAGAAATACCAAGTAGTTAAGACGATTCGATCAGAATTAGCCGCTCATCTTTGTGTGCGCTACGCGGGATTTCTTGTAAGTAGCAGTCACAATGCCGGATACCTCAAACTTGGGTAATTAAACCGTTTATCATAATTATACAGCAATCATAGCAATAGAACTGTACAGTTAATGCAACAATGATACTGGTAATGAATAGACACAGCCTGATCACCGGTGTTCAGGTTGCTTATGAGTGAAGACATTGGCATAACAGTACAACTGTATAATTGATGCAATAATGATACAAGTAATGAATAGGCGCAGCCTGATCACTGGTGTTCAGGTTGCTTATGAGTGAAGAGGTTGGCATATGACTTTTACTATATGAGATGGGTCTGAGGCACGAATACGGTGACTTGGGCAGCATTGCTGTGACATGAGCTAGCTAACCGTGGAGCTGTTTATATACCTTTTGCACTAGGCGGAGCCAGACTACACTAGGCGGAGTCGGGCTACAGTAGGCGGAAAGACGGGTGCTGGAAACATTTCTCAAGCATTGCAATCTGATAAGGTGATATTCAAAGCCTAGGATCGTAAGTGCAGATATTTTACGAGATAGGAGCCAGCGAATTGTTAGACATACGGCTATCAGATCGTCATGGAGAAAAGGTTATGGGAGCATTTGTAATGTTTGGAAAGGTTATCAGATCGTTATAGAGAGAAAGTCATGGGAGAAGCATTTGAAATGCTTGCAAAGGTTTGAATTGTTTTACATACAGAACATTCCAATATTCGTGAAGAATGTTCTCTATACCATGCTTGTCATGACAGACATCACTACCACTGTGCTATCCACCCTCTGACGAAATAGTTACCCATGGAAACTAGTGTAGTCGGTAACGACGTATTGTTGCAACGAAAAATTGCTAAGTTAGTGCTACGCAAATTTAGACTAAACTCAAAGCATATCCAGAAACCAAATCTTGCACCTAAAGGGGATTATAGCAAGTTTTTCGACCTCAGTAGATGAGGTGATTCATTATCACCTCTTGAATTTTGAAGAAATCGTCATACGAAAAGTTTCTATCAAGGAATCGACAAAATACACCGAAACCGCAACAACTGAGATCGGAACTGATTGAGAAGGACAAATTCAGAAATCCAGTTTCACAATAACACCCCACCTCACATTTTACAACGACACTCTAAGGGCTGAGAAAGCTGAGACGCGAAGGCGTAGTTCTCTGCAGTTTCTGAAGCCTAGGATTTCACCGTATTGGTAGAGGAATGAATAATTTACTATATTAATGACAGGACCTCTCTGAAAAGTCGGAAGTATTTTGCTGGTGTTTCATGTACCACATCCTAGGAGCGACTTTCTTTCGACCTTGGCATTGATCAATAAATGAATAAAAGAATGAATAGTACGATAATATTGGATAATACCTTCATTTCATGCTCGTTGGCATTACTAATTGGGTGAACTCGAAAACGAATGAGGGTTTTCGATTTAAAAAAGCCAGTTCGTTTCAGCGTGGTACCTACCAGTTATCAGAAGATTAGCGGTATGGCTGCATCCATTGCTTTGATGTTGGGTAAGAAATACTTGGATATTTTTCGACTATTCAATATTCCGATGTTGTTGTGTAAAAATTAAAAGTAGGAAATGCTAATGCAGATCTTCTGCTCAAATCAAATCATCTGTAGATATTTGAAATAGTGGAACTCGTCCAGCGAATAACTTGAACTGCCATCTGGAAACTCTCTTAATCATCGTTGTACTCACGTTCAAAACATATGAAAAGCATCACAATTTCTGCGGATATTTCTTATGGTGTGATCAGTTTTACTGTTTCTTGCGAGTGCTCACCTACAGATAGGTCTACCACGTGTGAGTGGGTATATTCGTCAGTAGCTTGTTGGAATCTCTTAGAATAGATGTGGACCTATTTCGCTGGAGGTTACTAAGAACGGCGTATATCTTCCAGTCAGCTTTTAGTGGAATTGATATAAAGGATGGAATGTGCGTTCGTGCAAGTAAACTCACGTTTATGAGTGTGATTACGTTTTTCCCGACGTAGAAAGACTACCATCCCAATAAATCTGAGTTTCACAGGAAGTTGTTGATACGCTTCCGGTACCACATTTTATAACGGCGTGGTCAATCTCCGCAAATCGTTGACATTATAGCTAATTTCCTTCAACTTCATTAGCTTCTATTAATGTTGCACTACGACCGAGTTTGAACTCATAAAAGAAATACAACCACAATGTTGCTGAGATATTTGCAAAACTCTGGACCGCAGGTGTCTATGGTGGGGAACGAACGCGCTATTATCCTTTCCGGGGAGTAACGCGTTCACCACCACACCATGCGGGTCCTTTGTTTCGCACGTCTCTCAGCTATTTCTATCGATCTTTTTGCCACAGCAATCACCCGTCAGCGGGGTTGATCTGGGGAGCGCAAATCGGCATAGAACCCAGTTAAGCTATGGCTACTCCCCACCATAGACACCTGCGGTCCAGAGTTTTGCAAATATCTCAGCAACATTGTGGTTGTATTTCGCTTAGTAACCTGCCATGAAAATTATAGAAGGCAGAAAACAAAACGTTAAAACATCATAAAAGAAAATTTGACGAAAATTCGTTTTTGAAATCCAAAATTGCAAGGCTTAAAATTGGTATAAAAAATTGACTTGTGCCAAAATATAAAAACATGGTTAGAAAGAGCATAAAACCGGCTTTCTAATGATATATAAAACTACAAGGTACAAAGAATATTTAATTGGTAAAAGTAACAGTACTTATTTTAAAACGTTCAGTTATTTCCGAACATCCTAAGAATAACCGTCCCTGCAGGATTCGATTCCACTTAATGCATCTCATTCGGTGTGTCGGTCTACTAATCACGGCAGGTTTCCCTTCCGATTCACGAAGGCCAGCAACAATATGAGATCATCCTAAATTAGCGACTTCGGCTTTCCAGATAACATTGTTCTCCACCAGTACTCAAAATGCTAGGAGGGGATGACAGAGTCTCATTTCGCGGCCAAATCCATATGCAAGCTCACATCCTCTGTGGATGACGGCTGAAAGGCAATAAAACGAATGGAACAAAGGCTGAAATGAGCACAACATTTCGAGACTGGTTTTCTAAGTAACTAAGCAAATAGGTGGTATAAAATGGAAAGGCGGTGTTTCGTGCGTTTTACCGAGTTCACTTTCATGGTCCAGAAACTGTCGACTTGTATATACAGATTATCAACACGACTGATAAACAATCTTAACAATGTACGATTGTCTTTCCTTAGAACGTCACAACCACATTCGATCCACTTCAACGTTTTTCTTGTCAATGGTTCGTTTACTTTTTCTACGCTGCTAATTAATTTCGCATTTCTCAACGATCCAAACCGTGGCGGCGGAATCCAACTGAACTGTTGATCTCAGTCAAACTCGGCTATCCTAGGTAAGATAAACCATGTTGGTAAACACAACTTAACTCTTACTACAAAACTAAGTAGAGCTTGTCATTTAACACGTGCTAACAAAACGTAGGAATCCGTACCCAAGAACTCATCATCGCGGCTAGATACTTCGAGCGGTGAATGTTTTCAGAAACTAAGCATTAAGATGTTACTATAAGCAAAACTCCAATGTTTCACCATTTCTGGATAGATAACGCACATCTATACAGTCTGGTAATATCAGCATGCAAAAACCCAGCATAACAAAACGGATGCCGATATCTCGTTCACTTTTAGGTATTCTTTGCGGTGTTTCCTTTACGCCAGTGATCGCCACCATCACAACAAGCCTATGATTTCATGCATAAAAATATCCGAGGTACTAATTAAAGCATTAAGCTAGTCATCCCCCCACTTTCGAAAAAAAGCGGTACTATCAGCAGTTGTTTTTGTTTATTTTTGTCTCACCATGTACTAGAATAAATCCGTCGAGTGCTAAAAGAGAAGATGTATTAAACCTATGCACGTCTGACTGACAAATATTCTTGAAGAATACTTGAAAGAATACCGAATAGTTGCATTAATGCATAATTTAACGAACAGGTACCAAGTACTTTTATGTAACTATTCAGCATTTATCTAATTTTCTCCTCGACAAACAAACGAATTGAAAACATCAGTGGAGGAAAATGGCAATGTCTTCGGTTCTTCAATCATCGCTGTAGTTTCATACTTGAAGAAAAAACCACTAGAGATTCATAAAACATTAATTATGCTTGACAATTCTGGTTAAAATCTAAATAAATCGCTGAGAGAAAAATCTGGCGATACAAAAATATGACGGTGAAAGAGAACACCTGAAAGCGACAGTAATGGGACAGAAATGAGACACAATGATTGATAGGACTGTATAAGACGAACCTAAACATCCTAAAAAAAACACTTGCCCATTAAAGAAAAGAAGGCCCGACCACAATACTAAAATCTAAATGAACTGACTGAACACGGTCGTGATGATCATCCCTAACCAGCTATGATTCAAAATGATCCAAACTGTAGAAAATCTCAAGATGACTAACTTTTCCAGTTGGTGTTGTTCATCGGTGACTGTTTTCACAGCAAACAAACGGTACAACTAACTCGAGAAAGAGTCATTGTTATTTTGTGATTCTAATCTCAGTTACTGGAATGAATGGCTATCAGATGAATGCTTTGTCGTTTCCACGCTGCTCTTAGATAATACATCATCTAATTTTGTGAGATAGCTGACAGGAAGATGTTGGAAGAGCGGATCTCGAATACGAGCCAGTTGCTTTCGAACGCTCTCTACCTGAATATTATTTATTTCCATGCTAAGAAATCATACGTCTAAGTTGTCAAAAGATGACAGTTTGCGTTGAATAAGAATTGCATAACTCGACATAATACTTTGAAACACAAAGTTCTAAGATTTCTAAACAGCAATATGAAGAAGTATGTATAGACGACAGAACAAATGTCGTTTAGTGCAATACGGTTCAACTGTTAGGAAAATGGTCGCACGATCGACACCCTCGATTCTCTGCACTTTTGAAATGTCGATCAGCAAAACACCACTAAAAGTGGAAACGGAAGCTAACAACTTAGGATAAGAAGGACAAACCTCCGTCACAAGGCTATTGTACCTTTCAATATCAAATCCTTCTTTAACAGCTCGCTTATAGAATTGCTTGGTCATAACTCGTTCTCGAACGCTGGGGTATTCGAAAGGCTAAACAGGGAGAATTTGTACAAATTTCACATAAGATGTCCGTACTTCCTTTTCAAAACTGAATAACAACGTCTGTGGAAAGGCTGAGTAGAAATATTGTACATTCATCACAGTTACGCATTCAAATCATACTCAGACAACGCTGTCAGATCAGCAAAACGAAACGATTGGTCTTTGGGAAACAGCCAATTATTAAGTCATTTCAGCAATTTAGTCACTTTTTAAAACTTATCCAACTAATTTGACTGAAGTTTAGACCAAACTGAAATTTTTTTAAAAAAAAAACCAATGAGTGCTCACTGGTTTTACTCCGATCTTTTACTACGAACAATATGTTAAGACTCTCGCGACGATGGACAGCTATAGGCATCAAAATGGTCTTGCAAAAGTGGCCGGTAATATGCTTATGTGTCCAATGTTCTTCCCAATGGTTTATTTTAACACAGAAAGTAAATAGTTCTCCCAAAGATTTACCTCTTTATCGTGGCCGGAATGTGTTCTTGAGCGTCGGGCTGCGATGTACAGCGGAAGGGTTCGTCTGCCGGCTGGGTCTCCTAAGCTGAGGAGTCCGGTGTTTCCATCAGAAAACCCAGCTAGGAGTAAACCAATACCAAGATCCACCACTATCCTTATATCAAATAAGTCGTATGGTGGCAAATCTCCCTTTAATCCGCAAGGGCTGCGACTGCCTGTGGTGGTGACGACTAGGAGTAGACTTTTACCAGGATGATATTTCCTCCCTCGGGAAACCAGGAAAACCGAATAACTAAACCAACAAAGCTCCGAAAAATAGAGATTAAGCTGGAGTATGCACAATCAGTGAGGATTGGCTGTCCAATTATCCAAGTAAGTATAGTGAATGGCAATTGTATAAACACAAAATACCATAAAATACTGAGTATAAATTGGGTATTAGAAATACCGAAATAGAGACCCATAAGTTGCAAAATACTTCTAAAAGCTGACAGTGCTTTGTACGATAAACCACAATAACATACAGTAGAAAGAAAGCATCATAAATATCAACCATTCCCATAAAACGATAGAGCCTATCCGTTCATGTTCGTAAGCCATCAAACCTCTAGTTATCAAAAAATGATTGTTTATTCTCAAAAAAAAACTATAAAATCCATAAAGCCTAAAGATTAGATGTCGACTAGTGCGCAACGAACACGAAACAGAGCGTCGTCGAGATAGTGTTAGGAGAAAAAGGTTCCAGCAGAATTACATTCCATCGAAACTTTCTCGAAAAAATTATAGCGTAATATCACCTGTCGTGTATAGAGAAAGTATCCGAATGTAGCTATGACAGTGGAATATGTAGCAAAGTACGTAACCGGTTCCATAATATCCCAAGAATATTCCCACCAGGTCAACCGCGCGAAAATACCTCAAATCAAATTATATACGATATTATAACACAATTACCTTAGTATGCTATAAAAAGTCTGAAAAAAATGACAACACTGTTTTTTCAATTAAATTGATGAAAAGCTGACTTCAGCGCTATCTACAAAATCTGGCACAACAACCAAATTCGGCGCTCGAAAGGATTCAACAAGTCTAGGGATCTGAAAAGCTTCTTGAAGAAATATTTCTACCCCAAAAAGATCCATGAAGAAGAAGAACAAATGCTAAAATATGGAAGAACTTCGAGAATTCTTAACTTCTGGAAACAATATAGAACAACTTTGTTCCCACTATGGTAAGAAGCCAGCCAATCAAATAGCTCACGTCCAGGAGATTTTGCACAAAATAAAATATTAATGATTTTGGATGGTCACACCTTGACATTTCTTTGCCATAATAGTGATGATTTAAAAAATGAGCAGTGAAAAACTATGCGACATAAGAAAATTTCGTTAAGAAGACTTACAGATCTCCCTCGGAGGAGCGACATCCGTCAGTTATTTTACTCAGATAAAATATTGTCGTAAGGAGGTTCAGAAGTTAAACGCAAAAATGAATCAAGGATAGAGACTCTTTTTTTATTAAATTCCTCAGTGGTTTCGTGATGTCCAAGATCGCATAGGTGAAAAGCTCAATTTCAAAACTAGTCGACCCATATTGAAATTCTGTAAAGCAAATTAACAGTGTGCCTGAGTTTAGATTCAGAACATCAATCAGTTCTGTAAAGGGCTAAGAGTAAACCAATACCAGGATCCACCACCGCCCTGGTATCAAAGTCGCATGGTGGCAAATCTCCCCCTGATCCACAAGAACTGCGACTGCCTGTCGTGGTGACGACCTGAAGCGGGCTTAGGCCAGGCTATCCTCCAATGGCTTAACCAGCAATTCTCCGAAAAATGGAGATCCTGATGGGGCCCGCACAACAGTGAGGCCGGGCCATTCAAGTACCAAGTATCAAGTAATCCAATAAGCGGAGGTATCAACTTTGTAGCAGTGTGAAACATAAATTCAGAGTCAATCTGAGTTAATGCGAAAAGCAACCACAGAGTACACAAGATTCAAAATACTACTGTTAAGAGTTGTTTCAAGTTGTTTAACAGTACTGTTTAATTTCTTTTTCAGATGAAACAGTACCTACCACCAACAGAAAACTGTTGTGTTAAGCGGAATTAATGCAATACAAAAACGATACGTAGATCAAAAACAGACCCACTACAACGGCAAATTTTTTGGAGATACGAAATCCTGTGAGCTTCATTGGCCTACACTAGCAAGACCGAACCATAAACTTAGACAGAAAAGTCCTAATAATGAAACTACAGGATACATTACACAAACAAATAACCTCAGGATGGGATCAATCAAAAGGTTAGGTCACTAAAAAGTATAAGAGATTTCTGATTCAAAATATGGGATATTTCAAAGTATGAAACCGGTTTATCTGCACATTCACCTGTTTGTATTCCCATGGCTGCGAATCCTGCCCACATTACACGTTCAGCGTGCGCATCGCAGTCTCTCTCTATCCGAAGCTTCTTCTGAAAAAAAAAACACCAGTCACTGATAACAAGCCATATGATTCACAAAGTGGTGGCAATATTTCCAACGATCTCTGAATACCTAACATTATAGGAAAGATAAAAACTTACAAAAGACTCATAATCTCATCGGCGAACTGCGCTTATGAGGAGGTTGAGATCTAATATTTTGTAAATCAGTTTGTAACTTAAGTTTAACGTCTTGTTTTGTTTGCCAGTTAACGTTTTTGCCAGTTAGTTTAAAGTTTAATAACGTCTTGTTTTCGGAACACTTCACACTCGCTAAGTTAGCCGTTGTCGTTACCTCGTGAAGTGGTCGTAGCTCCGATTCGGCCTTTTCCAACTGTTGAATCAGTCGCCTTTCCCTGCCTACCTAAGCATTTCACTATAACCAAAACGCTATTAGTGTGAATAAAATCTAAATGTGTACAAATATGTAGTAGTGTGTAAAAAAATACTTTTCATGTCTTACTTTAAAGATAAAGAGGCGAAAATCGGAGTGGCCAGAAATACTTCGGAATACGCACGTGCCGCCTGTTTCGACTCCACGCCTAGCAAACCAGGCGTCCCACTCTGCTGAAGACCGCAAAGTGGTACCGGACTTGTCTGGCAAAGGCTTCATTTTATTAAAAAAAGGCTGGCGATCCGATCTGTGGTTAGGACCTAGGAACGCTATCGTAAAGCTATCCAAACATTGCAGAAACGACCAATTCGACCAGCATTTACGAGCATACGCGAAGAAAACAATTCTGAAGTTACTGCCGAACTGATACTCTGGAAGAAGTGCTAGGACCGGCAAAGTATGAGAGGTCTGACCATGTAAATAGATATGCATTTATTGACAGGTTGACGGGTTTAGACGAAGTAGGTAAACTCTTTACTGTAACTGATTTTTGCCCTTGTGGCCACATTTATAACAAAATTTACTGGAGTCCAATGTTCACAAAACACCTTATTTACTTGATACTTGAACGGCCCGTCCTCACTGGTTGTGTGGGCCTCAGCATAATCTCCACTTTTCGGAGATTTGCTGGTTAAGTCTTTGTGGTTCCTTGGAATTCTGAGGTCAGCCTGGCCAAAGTCTGGCCCAGGTTTTCACCCACCACAGGCAGTCGCAGCACTTGTGGATAAAAGCGAGATTTGCCACTATATTCTTATTCTTAGCTAGGCTTCCAGATGGAAACGCCGTACTCCTTCTCAGCTTGGGAGACCCTGCCAGGAGGCTGAATACCCCACTGTACCAGTCCGACACCATGCCACAATGAGGCGGTAAACCGTTGGGAGGCACAAAATATCAAGATTTCATAATCTTTTAATACTGTAATAACTTCATTTAAATACTTTAGAATGGTCATTCACTTAATCCCTTTCTCTTCATCTAATTCATCCACTCAGAAGGCCGGATGGGTACACTATTGCAATAGTACAACTAAGACATAGAGGCCTCGAAAAACGGTGTGGTTGGAGATGCCGAGAAGTACACCACGTTTGTTGGTTCGGCTCCACACTGGGCTTAGCAAGCCTATCACGATTTCCAGCCGTAGTAGAGAAACTGGTGACGACCTTGTCTAGGCTCACTCTAATCCATGTGGGAACGCCAAAGCAGGACTATTCCAGGAACCAAGAAGAGTTGCTCGACCGTCATTCAACACCACTCACAACACAACGAAGATGAAAAATCCTTAAGCAACAGCAGAACCCAAAGGCAGAATTTCGAAGGCCTTCGAGGATGATGGATACGAGGAAGCGAAAAGAATATAGTAAATGTTGGGATTTGTACAATAGATGTGAAGATGGGCTATGTAAAAAGAAAAAGACTCACTTTGTACTCATCTACACATAAGCATGCATGTAGTGAAGCGACTGTTGCTCGTAGATCGTCAATTTGTCGCATTCTGAAATTACAAAAACTTGATTCACTATCACTTTAGACTAATAAAAAGTTAAAATCAAGAACAGCACAAGACTTCGAGATTCTCTGCGTCGAATTTGAGCATTATTGGTAGGAGTTAGTCAGATAAACATCTAGTACGGCAAAAGAATTCAAAATCGAGTGAGGGGGGAGAATTTTAAACTAAGTTAGTGACCGATATTATGACAACCAAGTGATAATCAAGTAGTACTGTCAATCATAGTGTTCTCGGAGAGTTCCTAGTTCTGCAGTTCAAATACACTTCTTCATTCTCTTACCTCATAATGTTCTACTCCATTTCTGTCTTTGACTAAGTACAAACAGTACCAAGAATCATGAAGAAAACCAAATTCGTTAGGGTTTGGTACGAATAATTAATTAAAAAACAACTGGATATAAAATCATGGTAAATACAAGATTACGAGAAGATTCTAATGGAAGAACTCAAATATTCAAATACTGCTCAGTAATCGAAAAATACATTAAAAACTTACATGTCGCTGCTTGAATCGTAGTTCAAATTCTCGGCGGATATAGTGACATCGTAGTATTTGTCATTCAACCGTAACCGGAACGAACCAAACTGCAGTAGATGCTCTATAGACGTTGACGTTGCGATTCGAACACCATCTGCAACATCTATCCATGAATTCCAGCTTTCTTTTTGTTTTGGTAGAGTTGGATACACATAATAAAGGATTAAGCTCTCGGCGTTGATCAATCCTTGAGGGAGGCGAAATGCATTCGACTTCATTAAGCATCGTTTGGAGGTGATTGAATGCATATCTAGCCTTTACAATGACTCGCAGTGGCCTGTCGATGTATTGAGCCAGTGTTGCTATTCTACCAGACAAATCTGGTACCAATTTGCCGACCCCAGAGGGATGGAAGGCTTGGTGGGCCATGGACGCAGGGATCGATTCCACCTGTGTGTTGTATGGTGCCTCCGACCACTGCGCCACACGCGCGGATAAACGCATATTATCAGAAATATGGTATAGCGACGTTCTTATTCAGACGTTGTTTGTTACATAGGTATTCACCGCTATAAGAGGTAGTCACTGGAAATTCAAGCGGAAAGCAGAAATCTGATTGTAAGGAAAGAAACAACGAATACAAGACAATGCAGAACTCAATATCGTGCATACATTATATGAATTAAAAAGCTTTGGTATCAACTATGAAGATCGAAAAGTCATTAGATGGAAATAATAACCCGTAGCTAAGAAGTAATACATGCTTAAAGAGCACTGATGATTGCGAATTTTATCAACGAAGTGGATATGGAAAGAATTTTCACCTCCTAGACACCAACTGGAATAATAACTATCTACTGTTTAAAAGAAGTGGTAGCTTGGGAGAATATACCACTTAGATGTCACTGTGTTATACGATGAAGACGTTTTTAGCATTAAACTTTTGATCCCGAAACGACGAATTCGTCTGGATAAGTCCAATGACAACGTACTTTGTCCTTCTAACTTCCATCGAACGGGTCTCCAGTGGAGGACAATAAACTAATGTGTGTAAATGTGCAAATTCACCCTAGTCGCCTCCGATCTAGGCACCTTAGAATGGCTGTGAGATATTAAGAGCCTTTCTGCACTCGCTGCCATTTCCCCCTAGACGGCCTCTAGTGGTCAGAGGAATGATAGCCCTTATTTTACCGTGGTTTGGGTATCGATACTCAAGTACAGCTTGCCAACCGCTTAGCGTGGGTGCTGGATACGGATGGCTTCTCAATTTCTACCAGAAAAGAAGTGAACCTATTCGTTGGACAAGACTCTTGACCATCTCCCAAGTATGTTTAACGTTTTATCTTCTGCCTTCTATAATTTTCATGACAGGTTACTAAGCGAAATACAACCACAACGTTGCTGAGATATTTCCAAAACTCTGGACCGCAGGTGTCTATGGTGGGGAACAAACGCGCTATTGTCCTTTCCGGGGAGTAACGCGTTCACCACCACACCATGCGGGTCCTTCGTTTCGCCTGTCTCTCAGCTATCTCTCAGCTATTTTTGCAAATATCTCAGCAACGTTGTGGTTGTATTTCGCTTAGCAACCTGCCATGAAAATTATAGAAAGCAGAAAACAAAACGCTAAACATTGTGATTTCAACTACAGCCATAGCTTAACTGGGTTCTATGCCGATTTGCGTTCCCCAGATCAACCCCGGTGACGGGTGATTGTTGTGGTAAAAAGATCGATAGAAATAGCTGAGAGACAGGCGAAACGAAGGACCCGCATGGTGTGGTGGTGAACGCGTTACTCCCCGGAAAGGACAATAGCGCGTTCGTTCCCCACCATAGACACCTGTGGTCCAGAGTTTTGCAAATATCTCAGCAACCTTGTGGTTGCATCTCCCAAGTACTTTCCAGTCCCATGATTGTAGGCTTTTGACCGAACGGAATTGTACAATACACTTTGCATAAACAAGGACACACCCACACATCCAGGAGTAGACATGTATAGGTGGGTTCAGGTGCGCCAAATTTGCGCAGCAGAAACAGGAATCCATGCCGGGGATCCAAACACGCCTTAGGTGTACACGTCGCTTTCTGAGAAAAAGTATAAAAAAGTAGTGAAGTCAATGAATATCAAACAGGCTTCTCCAAACAAGTGAAATTTTAATAATAAAATGGAAATAAAGGAAACTTCGAGACGAACAAGTCCAAAAGAAAAGATTGCCTTTGTTACGAAGGGGAATCATACCTTTAGTATATAAAGCAACGTGGTCCAGTCCACGATCTTCATGTTGAAGCTGTTCACAAAACCCACCAACATTGTCGGTGAGGGGGCGTAGAGAAAACTGGCATGGCTCTTGCCTTGATGGAAGCGGTATATTCAATATAGGAAGTCCTCGTTCGAAGCGAACTGTGATAGAGGAATTGCTTGGTTGTGATGACGAGTTGAAGTGGCAGAACTGAAAGAGCAACAAGTATAAGTGTTAGACTGGGTGTAAGAAGTCTAAATCTCGTTCATTTTTATCTCTTTTTCAGAAGATAAACACCACCGCTTTCTTTTAGACTTAGTACTTCCGTTTTCATCAGCTGTTTGTTTTCCTTTCTTGAGATCATTAATATATAGGCTTAGCTTTATATTTTCTTCGTATTTTTGTTGAGCAAACGAGAGGTGTTATTATTCTTTGTTCACGATTAAGCTGACGTTTCGGCGGATTTCGCCTTCCTCAGAGCCTGGAAAGGTCAAGTTGATAGCAATCTACTCGGCCAGACGCCTCCATAACCAAACAAAGAAACTCTAAACCAAGATTTCAATCACTTTGAACACAGCTTTGCAAACTCACCGCTTCCTATGAGGTTTCCACTAAGTATGTCACGTAGAGACCAACCGCACAGAAATCACATGGAAGTATAATGTGTCCCTCACATCAGAAAAGCAGTTTTATATACTGCCCTATATCACGCGTGATAATGAGGCATTCTTCCCTGCGGTTTATTTTCGGATTTCTGGAATTAACCCAGAGTGCCTCGAGAGTTTTTGGCGCCTGTCTTCTTGATTCGCGTGCGAGGATCGTGACACATACTTCAAAGTCCTCCCCGTTAGGTCTCTGGGTCCTATGCGTGCCTAGCAGGGTATTTGGCCTATGTTTGCCGGCTAGGTGTTCTTTCATGCGGACACAGAGGGGTCTACCCGTTTCGCCAATGTATTCGTCACCACACGTCTTACAGGAGATCAGATAAACTATACCCGAGCTCATGCAATCACCGTCTCTACCACTGGGGCAAATTATGCAATTTTGAGTTGCACATAGACGGTCATATAGGCGATTAAGATTACTCGGTGGTATTTCAACTACGCTCACCGAATTCTCTAAGCCCGCCCTTCTTAAGCAGCGTTTTATAGCTGTACTACGCTCAAATAAGAGAGTTGGCAATGAGACAACGACTGGCTCCAAGCCTTGCCATTGCATTTATGTCCAAGGTGGAAGCACTGGTGACTGATCTCGGGCCGCTACTCTACTGTAGATGTGTTGACGACTGCTTTGTCCTTTGCTCAACACAAGAGGAAATGGACAAATGCTTCGAATTGTTAAACGCACAGTCAGAGTATATCAAGTTCACCCGAAAAAAGCCGAAAGAAAAATGGCTTCCATTTTTGAACGTACAAATTCACCTATCAGAAAATGGATACATTACGAAGTGGTACCAAAAGCCAAGTAGTAAAAACATCTTGGTTCATTACCTCTCCTCTCACCCCTCTCACACGAAAAAGGCGCTTATAAGAAACATGTTTCGAACAGCAACCAACGTGTGCACGGGAAGAGAGCAAAGAGAGGAGTCCCGGAACTTGGCACGACAAATAGCCGTTTCTAATGGCTACGAAACTGTAGCTCAGAATAGGTGTAGAGGAAATCGTAGGCCTCCAAACGACAACTCTAGCGATAGAAGGGTCCCGTTTCTCCTANCTGTAGATGTGTTGACGACTGCTTTGTCCTTTGCTCAACACAAGAGGAAATGGACAAATGCTTCGAATTGTTAAACGCACAGTCAGAGTATATCAAGTTCACCCGAAAAAAGCCGAAAGAAAAATGGCTTCCATTTTTGAACGTACAAATTCACCTATCAGAAAATGGATACATTACGAAGTGGTACCAAAAGCCAAGTAGTAAAAACATCTTGGTTCATTACCTCTCCTCTCACCCCTCTCACACGAAAAAGGCGCTTATAAGAAACATGTTTCGAACAGCAACCAACGTGTGCACGGGAAGAGAGCAAAGAGAGGAGT